TTTTGAAAGTTTAAAAAGTTTAATTTTGGGGTTAAAATGGGCCTCAAAGTTGCCGACACCGAAAAAATATCTCGAGAATTACTCACAGAATCTTCTGAGTACCTGTGTCAGGCAATTTGCGTGAGGATCATTTGTCGACATCGCAGAAGCCTCGAGGGTCGCCCGGAACACAGTATTGCGTACACAGCCTGTTTTTTCAGCTTCTGTCTGGAATAAGGCTCTGTTGATTGTAGAAAGAGCGGGAACTCCTGCATCGACCAAGGTGGGTCAAACCAGGGCCGCCCGAGGTCGCGTTATGAAGATGTATAGGTTAAAATGGCCCAAAGCGGCCCGAAAACTCATAAAATCCAAAATACGGTGTCTTGAGGAATCATATTGCATCTAGAGACCCGGCAGAAGCATTTGCAAAAGAGCAAAAAGAAATTTCGTTTCTTTCGATGTCGCGGAATCGAACCCGGACCCTCCGCCTGGAAGCCCTGCGGCGCAGTGAGTAGAGCGTCGGCGTGCCAATCCAGAGTCGGCGCCAGTTCAATCCCAGCCCCCTCTCAGAAGCCGAACCTCTTTTTGCTCTTTTTTGCAATGGCTTCAGCATGATGACTACATGCAAACTAATGCCTCAGATTTCGTTATTTTGAATTTTATAAGTTTTCGGGGCCTCCTTTGGGCCATTTTTTGCCTAGTAAATGCTTTATAGCGCGACCTGGGCGATCGGGCGGCTCTAGTTTGATACACCATTCGATGCAGAATTTTCTTGCGCATCTTTCTACAGTAATCAACAGAGCCGCCCGATCGCCCAGTTCCGGACAGAACGGAAAAACTGCTTCGTGTACGCAATACACCTATGTTCCGGGCATTTTCGAGCTTCGCGATGTATTAGAGAAATGATCCCCACACCAAATTAGGTATTGACACAAATTTTCAGAAGATTCTGTGAAGTAGTTCTCGAGATATTTTTTCGGTGTCGACAACTTTGAGGCCCATTTTAACCCCAAAATTAAACTTTTTAAACTTTCAAAAATATGCCACCCTACTAATTCAACCATGCGCTTTCAGATGGCGTCAAAAAAACAGGGTCGAAAAAAACTGTGCCAAGCTATAATGGGGCTTGGTCGGATCCCGCACAAACGGCCTTTTAAGCTTCCTTTCCCCCCTCCCTCCAACAACATCCCGAGCTCTCGTCCTCCACAACATGAGCGCAAGATCCCCAAGGTTTGATTCTCCGAAGTGTTAGTGGATCAGGTATTCAATGTATGATGTTGCCAACACTGCCCCCCTTTTCCCCGATACGCACCTAGCAAAAGGTGCCCCGCGTCTCTATGAAAAGCTCGTAAATAGGGTTAGGCGTGGATGCGTCGGGGCCTTGAATCGAATAGATACGCGGAACACACCCCTTTCTAATATCCCTTTCCTGGTCCGAGGGGTAAATATTGAATTCCACTGAGTGGTAGCTTAAGAAATGCGCTTTGCACTCCGTCCGGTCGATAGCTCCAGATCTCCATTTTATCCGAATTCGGGCTTTCGAAAAGACTTACCCCTGGGCATGCTGATGTCCACAATCGCAGCAGTATGGGAGATTTTTGAGGGTACAGCGCTCCTTACGGCCAACTCGTACCGTGCACCACCCTCTAGGCCGCCCAGCTCGAAACTGGTGGCAGCTGTTTTTATCTGAAACGGCGTGTTTCGCAACTAACCAGAATATTTTAGCATTCAAAATTCCGTGACTCTATCTCTCTCTCTCTTCCTCTCTCACTCTTTCTCTCTCTCTCTCTCTCTCCTCTCTCTCTCTCTCTCTCTCTCTTCCTCTTTATTATTTTATTTTTGGACTCTTCCACTTCCCCATCTCCCCAATAATATATTTTCACGTGCCTCCAGTGTGCATTGAACTCCCAGAAAAAGTGTCCTAAAGAACACCGGATCCTACCCCAACGCCGAGACGACCGGGAAATTTTCATCCTTTATGCTCAGGGAGAATTTTCAGAATCGTTAAGGTGCTCATTCAACCTGGGTGCGCAAAAACAGCCTCCCAGCCTTCCCGGGAAACCCTCTACGCGCGGCCATATTTTGGATCAATTTGGTCTCAGAGTTGGGAGCGTTCTTTAGACCTTTACTCCGGCGCGTACTCCGTAAACAGAATGGAACGGAAGAGAAGAGTTCCGCGGCTTTGAATCGAATTCTAGCTAAAAAAGCATAAAGGACGAGTCAGACGATCAAAAAGGCTGAAGAAACTCTCTCTCCCTCTCTCTCCCCCTCTCTCTCCCTCGCTCTCTCTCTCTCCCTCGCTCTCTCTCGGTCTCTCTCGCTCTCGTGCCTTTCATGGTTTCTTTCTCGTGCTCTCTCGCTCTCTCACTCTCTCGCCTTTTCTCGGTCTTTCTTTCACTCTCTCCCTCTCTCTCGCTAGCCTAACTAGTAAATGTTTGCTAATTTTTTCAGAATTTTTCCTTGTTTTTCAACCTGCAAAAACCCAATTTCATCGCCTACACCCACCCCCGAAAAATTCATCCGATGTGTCTGTGGTTTGGGCGTGGGGCGTCGCTGCGGAAAAATGAGAGCCATTCCGCATAGCCGATGGCATAAAGAATGGGCTTTTCGGCAAGAAAACCCCCCAATTTCGGTCTGTACCCGGGTTTCCCGCGTACAGCCTATGATTATCATTTCTAAAGACGCGGGTTTTGTCCGGGAAATTTTTTGGAGGTACTGTATTGGGGGGGAGAATGGTTTTTCAATGAGACAGGCATTTTCTGTTTGTTCTTTTCTTAATGCTGCAAGCTACTGTGTCCTTTCCTAATTAGATAGCAAATGCTTTTGAAGCTGTCTCGTTTTTTCCTTAATTTATCGCCTCCCACGCCCCTTGCAATTAATTTACATCTTTGGCCACTCCCACTCGGGAAGGATGTGGACGCATAGCTTATTCTAGCATGTTCGCTAGCATCTCTCTCGCTCTCTCTCTCTCTCTCTCTCTCTCTCTCTCGCTCTCTCTATCTCGCTCTTACAACTAGATGAATTGAATGCAGCTTTTAGCGACTGAACCTCAAACGTACGTACATTTTTTATGACTTGAATTTTTTACAAGAATTGGGGCTTTTACCTCGCAAATACAGCGGTTTTCCTTTTGTTGACGAAACATCCAGAGATTGATGCCCAGCCCCTCCATTAGAGCCCCAAATTTTGCATAACTGGATTACAGTGCCCGGATTCCGGATTCGATCCGTTCTCGAAATTGGTTTCAAACCCCAGCCGTCTCTCGCAAACGAATAGATTTGCACCCCGTACGATTCTTCAAATTTGACGAATCGAGGAGGGGAAAAGACAAATTTCCGGCGTCTTATAGTTAATTCAAGGCCGGATTATGGTCATATGCTTGCTCCGCAATTCCACCGGGCCTGCTTAAAAGTTGCGGAAGGGGAAGAAGTGTATATGACCTTGTTTCTAGAAATTTTGTGGTTTTTTTTGCATAGCTTTTTTATCTTTTTTTTCTTTTTCACCGCCTAAACCACACCTGCTGTCTATGCAGTGGCACCCCACTTCTCGAAGTCATCTGCTTGACGTGTACCAGGTAGAAGATGCCTGAAAATTAGCATAGACTTCTATAAGCCGAGGTAAAATGACGCCCAGGCAAATCCGGGGGGAATCCCCGCAACCCGCTGCGCGAGCTCAACAGCTCAGATTACGTGATCATTGAGCTTTATGCATTCGTTAAGATGCCCCGAATATGCCCCGCGCAGCTTCCGCTGGGGTCTTTATTGTTGCTACGCGTTCCAAAAAATATCAGCATATTCCAGTTCCGTGGGAATCCGTTTTGACCTTTTCTGTCAATGCGGTGCGGACATTCTCATCACCATCAGTTTCCAAAGACCTTCGAGGTCAGCTCTAGCCTTTGGAAATTATTAATGCGCCAAAGTAAGTAATTTTTCTGAAACGGTCCTTTTAAAATCGTCCTCGCAACGAAAAGATATGACTTTTACATCTCTAAATCATTACTTGGATCTTGCCCAGCCGGCTCCCACTCCAGTTTGACGGCATGCGGGTCCTTGATGGTTGCCTTGAAGTTCAGAGGGGGTAGAAGCTGCTCGTCCGTCACTCGAACGCCTTCGATACTTGTCTAAAATGTCGTCTCCGAAATCCCAATAATTTTGAACCTTTTGGTGTACGGTAATCAGCAACGGGTCGCTCCAATGGTCATTCGTTCGCTCGTCGGTGCGGACCTAAAATGTGCTGCCCGCTTTTGATTTGCTCGCATGAGGCTTAGGCTTAGGCTTATGATCTGGCGTGGGCTTAGGCTTATGCGTAGGCTTAGGCTTCGGCTTATGATTAGGTTAGACTTGGACTTAGGGTTAGGCTTAAGCTTGGGCTTAGACTTAAGCTTATGCGTAGCCTTAGGTTAGGCTTAGGCTTAGGCTTAGTCTAAGCCTTAACCTCGCTGTCGTCTATTCCTTCAACCGCTCATCTTTTTTAGTTTCCTCGGTTTTTGAACCCCTTCTAAAAACAAGCAATTCACCGGCCGCATAAACGGACGTCTCCCCCCTCCCCGTGCGGAAATGGGCACATGACGGCGCTTTCGTGACCAAGCTCCGGGGAGGATGGTTAGCCCGTCGTCCCGGGTATTCGAAGCCATGGCCCATCCAGGCCCCCCACGGAACGCCGCGTTTTATGGTCCAATTCACGGGTAATATGCGGGGTTGGTTGGATGGGGAGAGGAGAACGAGGAGGAAGAAGAAGCGGATGCGGCCGAGCCACGGCCACACGTGTTCCCACACAACCACCAGCTAAACCCGGGATCATGGGCGCACAGATGCGATTCATTTGTTCGACAAGAGGCATGGTAGCATCGTTGGTTTCGGGGATGAGTTGGAGGGTGGTTAGGCTTCACTAACTATTAGGTTCATCTCGTAGTCTTTTATTTAAGAAGCCTCAGCCTGTGCATAAGCCTAAATCTAGGCCGAAGCATAAGCCCAAGCCTAAGCCTAAGCTTGAGCCTAGAGCTAAGCCAAGCCTAAACCTATGCATCCGTATGTCTATGCCTATATCGCGGTTTATGCGATGTTTAAACCTAAGTCTAAGCCTAACTTTAAGGCCAAGCCTACCTCTAATTCTACCTGACCTAGTAGATGATCTGAACGTCATTAATTTATTAACCTTCTTTCCAAAGTTTAACCATGCGCTAACCCTTATTTTTCACCCCGAGGCGGCAATGCCAAACCCATGTAATCGGGCGGCCATCATGTTGGTCGCGTCGCCCAATCCTAGGCCCTCCGAACATGTGCAGCCTTATGGACTTTCTTTTGATCCCCCAAAAAATCCGTTCCCATTCCCCGGAAGCCATGTCTTGACCGCGAAAAGCCTCCATAATTTGGTCTTTCAATTTTGCAAGCCTTTCGAGATTCCCAAATCATAATTATTGCCTAGCGCGCGAAGTACAAATAATTAGAGGGGAGGCAGCGAATTCGCGAATTTCGTTAATCGTCACTCCTGGCAAAATTTTTAACTGACAACTACTGTAGATTCAGCTAGAGAACGAACTTTTTTTCCTCGCAGGGCACAACACAAACCCCCGCCATCGCATATTTTCAGGGAATTATCGGCCGCATTATTTTTGAGCGGTTTTTTGTTCGTCTGGGGGATCACGTAAAATTTCGGGGTGCCGGAGGTAAACTGGGCAAAGAGCGGAAGATTATGTGTCTAGTGGGGGCAGATTTGGAACATCGTTTCCGAACTTTTGAGCTGCCCTCCCCCACCCACCTGTAGTTCAATTTGTTCGTTGTTGTGTAGGGCGGGGAGGGCGAGACGTTGGCTGGGGCCACGGCTTCGTTGATAGGTCCAGCCATCGGTGCCTATTTCTTTGTAGCGGATCAGGAAGGGGATGTCTGAAACGGGGGAGTGGGATTACGGTAGCTCATATACTTTCAATTTTTACGGCTTGTTTCTGGCTAGAAAAAGGAATGAGTACTTTAAACTACTACTAAACTTCTGAATATATACTTTCCAGTATTCTTTTTTTTAGGCTGTGCTTGCATTCACGCTTAGGCTTAAGCTAGGTTAGGCTTAGACTTAGGCTCGGGTTTGGGCTATGGTGTAAGCTTAGGCTCAGGGGTCTGCTTGGGCTTAGGCTTAGGCTTGGGCACAGCTTTTACTAAATGTTTCGTTCCATCCATATATCCATGACATTCCCGTCCCTTCTCCCCTCTGCTAAGGTGCGCTGAGAAACAGACTTCGTGCGCACTCCAATCGGCTCAAAAAGGCTTACAAAAATGCCAGCTCCTACTCGTACTTCCAAAGATCTAAGCAAAAACCACCCAAGTTTTTTTCATTGTCATAGTTCACCCGCCACCCGGAAATCCCGCCATTTGCGCCGGCATTCTCATCTTTGAATTTTGTAGGGCTTCCCCCATGAGAGCTTGACTTTTTTCGACCTTTCCCGGTTGTTTACCTGACCAACAACCTGCCACACGTGTTCCTCGGACAAAGCTAAAAAATCTCTAATGCCCTCTCGGCTAACAATAATCCCCTCAACCTCGATCTCATTTGGCATTTGGGGCGTTGCGTATTTGTCCTTTGAAGTTAGCCTTTATTTTATTATCTTATTTAGTTAGTTTTTGTTTTTTTTGCGAAAAATTCAAGTAATTCCACCCACCTTGACGATGTGGGTGGAGCCTCCAGCGGGCGAGAATGGAGCCGTCGGCCGGGTCGAGGCTAAAAACCTGGGAATTCCGGGGGTAGCTTGGCGTCATGGCGCCTGGAAATTGTCAGAATCGAAAAGTAATGGCTTCTCAAGGTTTATAAAGGTTTTCGGCGTTAGGGTCCGGATTTCCGGTCAAACTTGAACCTTCCTATATTTTTTACTCCATAAACTTTCTAAAATCTCTACCTAGCATTCAGCTCTTCTATCCGCTCATGTGGCTGGGCATCGGATAACTAAAAATGTGGTTTTTACGTTAGATTTAATATCGAGGATTTCTGAATATTATTCAAAATGACTTAGAAGTGCTATGGTTCAAGGGACAGGTACGGATGCGCAACACGCAACGCGCGCGCTAGCTATTTCATTGCGTAAACGAATAGCCTCTTTTTACGGCCGCCTGGATCTGCCTTACGTTGCGTTGCGCGCCGCCTTTGCGTCACTTTGCGTATAGCGTTGCTTGCCGCGTTACTAGGTAGTTGCGTTTCGTACGGCAAAATCGAACTGGATTGCATAGACATCACTTGCCCCTCCCTTTAGATGAGTATTGCCCTAAGCTTGGCCTTTTAGGTGTCACCATCCCTTTAAAAGCCAAAAAACAGCCCGCTCTCCTTTTTCCGTTATTACATGCTGGTGCAGCCCCTTTGCAATAACTCCAAAAACTGCGTATCCGTTGCCTGAATCATTATACCAAAACCCTGCTGAATGACTCGAAGGATTAGATATTCCCACCATGTAGCTAATTGGCTCAAAAAGCAGTTCCCGGATGATGCCCCCGGTCCTCTTAATTAGCTTGAGCTCAAGATGAGGAACGGGGCCTACCCATCCCTCGCCCTCCCATTCCCACAGGAAGGATCAGCTACTCCCCCCGACTCACCGCCAATAGTAATATGATTGTGATGCTCCGCATGGCGATGGGCATCTTTATTTTGGCCTCGGCTGGTCCTTTCCGCCTCTTAGCGTTGTTATGCGCTGAATTTTTTTGTTATGTTTATAATTTCGGGATCGGTGAGTCACAAAGGAGTTAGTAGGGGAGGAACGCAAATGGGTGCAATTTGGAAATAGGTTTTCGGAGATATTTGATCGGAAGAAGGCATGATTGAAGAAATTAAAAATATCGATCATAGATTACTTCGAACATAGATCATAGATAGACTAGAATATAAAATATTTACTTCCGATCATAGTTCACCATTATGGTTTTGAATGTTTTGACGAAGCTAATGCAGGCCTAACAAGGAGTGTCCTTTTGGTGTCATCGGCAAAACAATTCGGGACCCAGCTCATTCGATAGAGAAATAAATTCTGAACAAGACTATGTTGTTCATTTTTGCGGAATGGTTGTCCCTGATTTTATAAAATTAAAAAACTGCCGGCGACGCCCATACATTGGTGCTTGGGGAGCGAGTTGTTAAGGTTTCGCGCTTGGTTTTTTAATTTTATAAAATCAGGGACAGCCATTCCGCAAAAATAAACAACAAAGTCTTGTTCAGAATTCAATTCTCTATCGAATGAGCTGGGTCTCGAATCGTTTTGCCGATGACACCAAAAGGACACTCCTTGTAAGCAAGCCCAACAAAGCCTAAAGCCTAAGCCTAAGAGTTACCATGCCTAAGCGTAAGCCTAAGCGTAACCCAAGCCTAAGCATCGAAGCAAATATATTTCCAAATAGTCCCTTTTTTGCAATAGAATTTTCAGCGCAGTTGACACTTTTCCAACGATTTAAGGTTTAATTTCAAGTAAAAGAAGATCTGAATATTATGGGATAGAGGGGAAAGTTGCTGCATATTCCGAGCCAAATCATCCCAAACTGAAAGTCTTACGTCGTCAGCGATCCCTTAAAGTGCTTTATCGGTGGCGGGTGCCGCGAGGCGGTACAGACTTGCCCTAAGGGCCCTTCAAGCCCTTGCACAAACTTCGAATTATCACCCCCCAGCTGATAACCTCAGCAAGGGGGATGCCCTAATCGGAATTCTGGCAATGTCAACAGGGGCGTGATGCGGAACGTTTCGAGAGCTCATCAGTGTTGGTGTTGGGATGAGCTCAAAGGGGTGATTGGCGTGGATTATAGGGTAAATCCGTAAATGATACAAAATACCTATACGATAAAATTAAAATCCTGTTGCTTTTGGCAAGGTCTAAGCCTAAGCCTCAGCCGAAACATAAGCCGAAGCCCATGCCCAAGCCTAACCTAAGCCGAAGCCTAAGCCTAGTTGGCAATTTTTGGCACAAAGATATATTTTTTAAGTTTATAATGACATTTCGTAAATTTTTATGCTTAGGGATAGTATAAAACATTTCCTTTAATTATGTTCAAATTCTTAGGAAAAAATTTTGTCCCGCCCACCCCGATTTTGCAAAAGTACCACGATCCCATTTTGCTAAAATCAAAGTGAGCCCATTAGCCCATTTCGCTAGATTCGAATTTTTAATTTTGCTTGCTTTTCATATGGTTCTTTGGTCCCCCATACTCCAATCTACTTTCCTGAAAAATTATAAAACCCCACACTTTCCTCAAACATTTAAGCTCCTCGAAAAACCTCTGAAAAACTCTAGCGCCGAGGTCAACCGCCCCGTTTTTCCTCCGGATTTCGTGAAAAGCCTTGCCCGAAAATCCGCTCCTCCAACTTGATGCCTCGAAGACGCCCTCTACATTACAAAATGTTTTGTATTCAATTGGGCGGCCCTAGTTCCTGTTTTGACCTCGGATCCGATGAGAATTTTCCCAGGGTTCCCCAAAAAATAATTACCCGGTTGTTGAGCGTCGGGCCTGCCGGGGAAAGGTTGTGTTTTTCGGGTATTTGATCGGTCGTTTGTCACTAATCGTGCGTGGGAAATGATTTTGGACGCGATTAGGGAATGTAAAAATTGGGGCGAGTTTCTCAGAGATCTTTGTGCTTTTCGTATCTTGAGGTATTAGACCCAAGCTTGGGTTTAGGCTTAGTCTTAGGCTTGGGCTTAGGCTTAGGCTTAGGCTTAGGCTAAGGGTTGCGCATTTATCCTCAATTTTTACGAATTCCGCATCCCTGTAAAGCCCTGCTTGCTTTCTTCAGAAAGCAGCGTTGGCTCCAGCTATCCTCATCCTCGATTTGCGACAGAACTTCTTCACCTTCCAAAATTCTGAAGCATCCCCCTCTCGGCGTGGAACTTGTGGGGCTGGTGGTTGCGAGCGGCTGTTGGTTCTGTTCTCAAATTTCACTGCTCCTAATGAATTAGCAAGAACCCTGAGGAGGCGCTCCTCGCCGAGCCGTTCTCCTGCTCACCGGCTGAGGCCCATTTCTGCACGGAACTTCTGGAGTTTTCATCTAAAGAACCTAAATTTTTCGTCGTCATTTCTGCTCAAAAATTTTTTAGCTTTAATTGAACGGATCATTTGCAATTTTACAAAGATTTAGCTACCTGGCCCGGATTTATGAAATCTACGTAAATATCTTATTCGCGCCTTTGATAAAAACCTTCATCTACCACCGCCGTGGGCCACGAAGCTTTCCCCCACCTCCAGCTCGACATGGCCATTCCCAGACCAAATCCCCCGGCAAACATCCGCTTTCTAGGTTTTGCAAGCGTCCTGGCTCCTGGCTTTTTGCCAAAAAGGAGCAGCAGCAGTTTGAGGTCAAACTTTTGACGCATCCCCAAATTCCGCTTGCATTAATTGCGTCCAAAAACCGAGAAACTGACTTCCGGATTAGGGCGCAAAAAGCCAAGCCGCCCCTGTAACTTATTAACAGTTGTCTCGCCCTTTGTGGTGAAAAGACTGGATTTGCATTGGTGTTCGTGGGGTGACTACGTCTATGGAATTTTCTTTGTAAGTTGGGTGGTGCATGATAGAAATTATTTCGTTTTTTGGGCGTGATGGAAGATACGTCACTTCTTCCGTGTCATGAGGGTCTTTGCTAGATGAATTTTTCGGCGATAATCTAAAATTCTTGACAAAACACTAGATAAACAGGTTTTTTTTCACGTTCTCTATTACACTTGATTTTTTAAGCGAACGTGGAAACTCCTCTCAATTGTTTCGATGAATTTTCTATAGAATTTTGTGAAGAAGATAGTCCATAAACATACTATCCAAATTCTGCTATTTAATGTTTTTGGATGCGGCCATCTCCCCTCTCCTCTTGAGACCCTTGAGGTGCATGGTTGTTTTTGATGCCACCAGGAATTGGGCTGCTCGGTCATTGCGTGAAATTGGCCCATTTCTTTCAATATATTTTTTAGTTTAGTTAAAATCAAATGCTGAAAAAAATGGGATTTGATCATTTATTAATGGTTTCTAAATTAGGTTAGGCTTCGCTTGGGCTTTATGCTTAGCTTACAAGCAGTTCTTTTTTGAGTCATCGGCAAAACCTTACGAGACCTGGCTCATTCGATAGAGAATTTGATTCTGAACAAGACCCCGTTGGCCTTTTTGCGGAATGGCTATCCCTGATTTTTGAAAAGAAAACTGGTGGCTGTCTCTTACCATGAGTGCCATTCGATCGAAAAGAGAGGCTTTCCAAGTGCAGTTTTAAAATTTTATAAAATCAGGGATAGGTTAGGTTAAGGCTTAGGCTTAGGCATCGGCTTAGGCTTAGGCATAGGCTTAGGCTTAGGCTTAGGCATCGGCTTAGGCTTAGGCATAGGCTTAGGCTTAGGCTTAGGCATAGGCTTAGGCTTAGGCCTAGGCTTAGGCTTAGGCTTAGGCTTAGGCTTAGGCTTAGGCTTAGGCTTAGGCTTAGGCTTAATAGGCTTAGGCTTAGGCTTAGGCTTAGGCTTAGGCTTAGGCTTAGGCTTAGGCTTAGGCTTAGGCTTAGGCTTAGGCTTAGGCTTAGGCTTAGGCTTAGGCTTAGGCTTAGGCTTAGGCTTAGGCTTAGGCTTAGTAATTCACCCGAAATCAAATCAAAATTCCCTTCTTCTTCTTTCCTTCTTCGAACTTCCCGCTTTCCCTTCCCCTCGAAGCGCTTATAAACCACGGGATACTCCAGACGAAGTCACCCGGGTGAAAAACGAAACTTTGTGCCCCGGATAGAAATGGAGGGGAGGCCATCGATACGCCATAAGAGAAGCGTGGGA